TTCTTGGAAGACCTGGTTCATCAAGCTTTGAAAGGTTGCTGGGGCATTGGTTAAGACAAATGGCATAACCTTGAACTCATAGAGCCCTTGGTGAGTTCTGAAGGCTGTTTTTGAAATGTCCTCTTCCTTGACTCTGATATGAAAGTAACCTGCTCTCAAGTCAATTTTAGTGAAGAACTTGGCTCCATGCAATTCATCTATCAATTCCTCAATCAGAGGCATGGGAAACTTGTTCTTTACTGTTAGCTCATTTAGTTGCCTATAATCCACACAAAATCTCCATGTCCCATCTTTCTTCTTAACTAGTAGTACTGGTAAGGCAAAAGGACTACTGCTAGGCTGTATGATGCCTAGTTCCAGCATCTCCTTTACCAATCTTTCAATTTCTGTCTTCTGGATGTAGGGGCACCTGTACGGCCTTACTTGAAAAGGCTTGGCTTCTTCCTTGAGGAAAATTTGGTGTTCATGGCCCCTGGTTGGAGGCATTCCCTTATGCTCCTCAAAGACATCTTTGTATTGATCTAACATTTGTTTGATTTCAGCAGGTAGCTGTCCTGGATTTCCTTCTTCTTCTACTGCCACCAGCTGAGCAACCACCCCATAGGTCTGCTTTCTCAGCCATCTTGCCAACCTTCCCCCCTTAAGTCCCTTCAGCTTGGTGTTGATATCCTCCCCCATCAGCACTACTTCTTGTCTTCCCTGGTCAATTTTCATATTGAGTTCTCTGAAATTGAACTCTATAGGACTGTGTTTGGCCAACCAATCCACCCCAAGGATCATGTCACAGCCCTCCAACTTTAAAGTATTGAAGGTATGTTGGAATTGGTGACCTTGCATTTCCCACTGCAGGGGCTTATCCAGTCCCTTGGAGTCCACCTTTTCTCCATTGGCTACATTGACTACTAAGTTTGGTCCCTGAGTACCTAGTTTTAATTCTCTGGCCAGCTGCTCATCCAGGAAACAGTGGGTACTGCCACTGTCTATTAATGCAGTGACCTGTCTCCCTTTAACTAGACCCTTTAATTTGATAGTTCTGTGTCTGGTTCCCCCAGCCAAGGCATGGATAGATACCTCTATGTGTTCATCTGCCAACTCTCTATTAATGCAGTCACAATAAACTTCCTCCTCTGGCTCTTTAGCCTCTTCCACCGACTCAGTCTCCTCAGCTAACAGGAAATGCACATGTGATTGTTTGCATATGTGGCCCAAGGTATAAGGTTCAGCACATTTATAACATACCTCAGGTTAAATTCTGTGGGGGATATTCTTTTGAATTGGTTCTGGTTGGTTGTTTTCTGGTCTTGGGTTTTGATGGTGTGTTTAGGGTAGTTTTGGTTCCATCTGGGGTTTGGTGTTATTTTACTGGGACCTCTCTGGTTACTGAAGCTAGTACTGACAGGTTTCTGCATTTTCTGAATAGCCCTAAGGTTTTTCTCTTAGAGTTTTGTCATTTTAATAGCAACAGCCAAGGTTTCAGGTTTGGACATCTTAACCATATTAACTATCTCCTCCTTCAGTCGACTCTTGAAGCATGCTTTGTAATACGAATTAGACAAGTGGGGTAAGGATGGCATTACCAGGACTTTGAGCATTTCAAATTTTTCCAGGTAGTCAGCCACGGATCCAGTCTGCACCAACTTATTGAATTCTTCAATGGCCTCCTCAGGACTCTCTTCTCCAAATCTGATACACAGAGCAGTGGACAATTCTGACCAGGGAATGGTCTCTCTCCCATGTAAGACTCCATGGAACCAGATATCAGCTTTGTCCCTGAAGTAGAGTTCAGCTACCTCAGCCTTCACGTTTTCTTCTATCTCATGTATCTTGAAATATTTATTAGCCTTCCTGATCCATTCTCTTGGGTTATCACCATCAAAAATTGGCAGATCCATTTTAGGTAGTCTTCCACTAATTCTGGCCTCTCCCTTGTTGTTTGCTTCCTTCTGTAATTCCACCCTGGATTCGTTTGGTCTAGCTTCTCCCTTTGAGCTGCTACTTCCTTCTAGCTCCTTCCCACGATCACTGACCTTGGCCATCAACTGTGCCATCATGTTCATCATTCCTTCATACTTTTGATCCAGCCCCTTTAATAACTTTTCAGTGGCATCCTGTCTGAATTCCATTGTCCTAATGCCCTGTTCCATTCCCTCATTTTTGTTGGAAAAAGTCCTGACCACACTCCCTAATTCCACCACGTCTCTTCTCAATGCCTCCTCCTGGTTCTTTGTCATCCCTATGGCTCGAAAATGTGCTCTGATACCACTGTTGTGGTACAGAACTGGATAATAATTGCAGGAATGGAGATAATGTGTGCACGGATCTTGGCCCACGCAATGACCCAGTTCGAGTACCATTGGGCCTAGTCACACATGCACGGCTAAGCAATTCAAGGAATCACTCCAAGCCCTTATGCAGAATGTTCAAGACCAACAAGGAGTCCATCGAGACATTGAAGGCTTGGAAGGTGATAACCCAGTTGTCTACACGATGATCCAAGCCCGTGAAGAGAGCTCGTGAAGAGCCAAGTGGGCCATAGCCGATTCGGCCTTAGTGTTAGGAGTCTTAAGTTTAGATTAGTCCTTTTTCTTAGCCATGGATTTGGCCCACCTTTGTCTAAGGATGGCCGAACCACTAGGCCCTTTTTTATTGAGTCCATGGATCGGCCCACTTTGTCCAAGGAGTGGCCGACTATCTAGCTTTTCGATATTAGGGTTTCGGATATTAGGGTTTCATTAGTTTTGCCTATATAAAGGCTTCCTTTGTAAGCATTAAGGGTAGCCGTTTTATGATAATAAACTTTGTGTTTGTTTCTCTTACATGGAGAGTACAATTCCATTACTTGCATTGGCAAGGGTTCTTGAGCAATCTCGTGATCGTCCTTGATTGTTCTACCGACCTATCCACTTGAGTATCCACCTCGATTGGAGTCGTCGTTCTACCACCTTCAATCAAATCGTGTCGTCCGTTTGATTTTAGGTTCCGCAATCCAAGCATTGGACAACCTCGCTAGATCCTTGGGCAAACGTGCTACGTGTCTCGAAACGAGTTGATCAAGGAACGTATCAGGAGATAATTGGATTTAATCAGAAAATATAAATGGCACTCAATGCTGAATTGAATTCGATAATCACCTTCACTTTTATTGAGGAAACTTCAATTTGGTTACAGAAATGGAGATGGCGGGAAAAGGATGAAGGGGAAAAAGAATGCAGGAAGAAACTTGGGGAAAAAACTAACAGAAGGGATATTCTCCTTTCTGATTGCTATAACAAGAATTTAGTTGAATGATCCCCAACAATTACATGATCACATCCTTTATAGAAAGCTAATCTAACTAACTCCTCCCACTTGCTAAAGAAATGGTTGTCACGTGAGAGGGAATCTTCTGGAATGACTGGTCCCAACCATCAGCAAGGATAGTATAAACCCAGAAAAGGCGTGCTTCTCTGCTCATGCCTTCTGCTTCCCTCGCGCCTTCCACTTTTCTACTTTCACGCCTTCGTCTTCCTAGTGCACTGCTGATGAATGTCCTTCTCAGTTCACGTCTTCTCTATTCCACTTCATGCTTGATCACGCTTTCCTTTAGTTTTATTTCACGCCTTCTCTCCTCCTATAATTCCTAGCTTCTTGTTTCATTACAGTGTATTAGCGTGTGTTCGTGTACATTGATATCTATACACGCAGAAAAGTACTTGTACATTTGTTCAATTGAAAATGTTATTTATTTTGAATGATTTCGAAATTTGCATTGCTCTAAAAATCCATGCTTTTTTTTTGCATTTCTTGGTAGTTTTTGTTGTAATTTTATAGATTTCATTTCTGTTATCGTTTGACTTTTAGTAAACGTGAATCATAAATTAATACGGATTTTTTTTTTCGAGTATTTTATGGTACTTGTTTAGAGAAAATTAAACTTCACAAACAAATGGATAAATATAAAAATTATAGTTTATCAGAATTTGTGATTTTTCAATAGTGAGGAGCTGAATCACTAACTCTTTGACAGAGGAATGGTCGAAATATTAATGGGACTGTGTTAGTTGCTTTTCTTAAAGTTGATTTGTGAAATTTTTGTTTTTTTACTGGGTTTGAATTTGATGCTCTTTTTGGTTCAACTTTAAACTTGAAATTCTGCTGCGAAATGGTTAAGAGTTTCAAAAACATTCTGGGATAGAAGTTCAATGGATGTGACGATGGCCAGAACAGTGTGACTTGGACATGGAGTCATTTTGATTGAAGGATGCAGAGGTATATCACGCTAAGATGAGTTGAGTGAACTTTTTAGGTCCCTATCAATAGCGTTGAGTTTGAGCTTAGACTTTGTGATTTGATTGCCGTTGAGTTGAGCTTGAACTTCGCTCTTCTGAATCAACTGCAGCCCTGGTTGGCATAGTTGAATGAAGTCTTTATTAGGTTATTGTTGGCCCTGATATCTCATTATGTTCATTTGTTTAATTGCTGATTCAAGATTCTCGAAGATTTTCTTTTGCTTTGTTTTAGCTAAATGACCTTATGGCAACAATTTTCTAAGTTGTGAGATGAATGTCTATAGTAACCGTTGTAGTGGATTTTTCTGCCTTATATGCAGCTAGATATCCCAACTAAGTCAGTGGGCGAAAAAACAAGATATGGAGATTGACAGTCCAAATGCCAGTAGTGGAAGCATATCTGGGACACGTGAAGAAAATGGGTTTCACCTTAATCGTGTTTCTGTAGGTGATTATGGTGAGGGGTTGCCTTATGCTCCCATTGACTGGCCTAAGCCTGGGGATAACTGGAGCTGGAGAGTGGGGAAAAGGATTGCATCATCTGGCCACTTCTTGGATAGATACCTTTATCCTCCTAAACACCTTCAGGATCCTCATCGTAGGAAAGTTGGCTTAGCAAGCAAGCAATCAGTTGAGCAGTTTATCCAGGCAAAATTCCCAAATGCTGATGTTAATGCATTTTTTGCCTCATTTAGTTGGAAGATCCCTTCAAAGCAGCTACGCCTTTTTGGAATGACAGGTTTGCGTCAGAATTTATCTACTGTAATCGTCTGTGAGCAATATAATTTCATATGATTTATGAGAACATGAACGGTATTGTTAGCAAGTAAATGCAAATTTCTGTACATGAACTCATATCAATTTCTTATGCATGATTAAACCTCAACAAGTTTTAAGGTCAATCATATGGATCTTAGATTCTTCCACTCTTGTATGCATTTTGATTAGTGGAAATGAAGCTGATGGATATTAGAAGCTCAGCATCTAACAGGATCTTAACTTAAAATTTTGGTCATCTTAAGCCTTTGAGGCTTGCAAATTAATTAGAAAGGATACTGGGAACTGGCAAGGGCTCAGGGTTCATCTTCTTTTCTGGTTGATCAACTGATTGAGACTTGTCTTTTCTTCTTTCTTGAGGACATTCAGATTGAATTCTTTCATAGCAAAAAATTTCTTTAGTCGGAAGACTGAATTTTTCACTTTGCAAATCCTTGTTCATTTGAATTTTGATCTTTCTACTTGGCTGCACTACATTGTTTTCAGCTTCCCATGCTATTCTTCAATTTGATAGCTCAACTTTGGTGTAGATAATAAGGAGGAGAATCCACCCACTGTGGAGACAGAAGAAACGTCAGCCTCTGATTCCCTAATGGCAGATCTGACTTGCAAGGCTGGTAACAAAACATGTACCAGTTTAGGAGCAGTTGGGAGTGCTTCAGGAGTCATGCTTTGTGATATTTGCTGCAGTGAACCTGGTTTCTGCCGAGATTGTTGTTGTATTCTTTGTTGTAAGACCGTAAGTTCATCTTATGGTGGGTATAGTTATATTAGGTGCCAAGCATTACTAAATGGCTATGCTTGTGGTCATGTTGCCCATTTAAACTGTGGTCTCCGGGCTTATATGGCTGGTACAGTTGGGGGGACTATTGGTTTGGATGCAGAGTACTATTGCAGGCGTTGTGATTCAAGGTTGGATCTTGTTTCACATGTCAAAAAACTTCTAAAGACCTGTGAATCTGTCGACTCTCGGGATGACATTGAAATGATTCTGAGTGTTGGCATATCTATTCTGCGTGACTCTCGGAGAGCTAGTGCGAAACAGTTGTTGGATCAGATCTCATTGGCAATGTCAAAGGTATAGCTCAGTAACTATTTTGATCTAGGAAATATGTTTAGTCAAGCAATATCTATTGTTTCTACAGCTTCAAGATAGCATCATGACCAGTCTTTTGTAAACATCAGCTCAGAAAGGGTGCAGACCTTGAAGATGTCTGGAAGAAGGAAGAAATAGTTGAAGTTACAGAAGGTAACTTCTATTGTAATTTGGTTTTTAACATTATATTCAGATGAATTAAAGCTCTCAACTTTTGCTTTTGTGAAGATGCTCTTTCAAGAACTTTAGAGTAGTTTTTGAGAGACATCACATGAAGAGAGGCATATGTACAGGGAATTAGTAGTCAATTTTGTGATGACAGAGTCTTCTTTGATGGATAAATTGCACCATGTAGGAAATTTTTTAGCTTGGATCTGACAACATTAAAGATTAGGCAAATAGAGAAAAGTCATAACTCGTACATGTGGGGAGTTTAAATGAAAGAGATAGTTTGAGCATTTAATCATCTGCATTCAGACTCAATATCATGAATAAACTTTTCTATTGAGTGCACGATCCTCCCTGGACCATCAAACTGTGTTAATGAAAGAAATCTGTGAATGTTAATTCCTGCTAACTACGATTGTAGCAGTGTTAATGAAAGAAATCTGTGAATGTTAATTCCTGCTAACTACGATTGTAGCAATTGTCAGTTAAGCGAGCCTTATGTTTTTGTTGGGTGAAGCTCTAATTCTGTAGACTTCTTCCACTGTAGCTTTTCCACAGCAAGCCTACAGATGGATACTGTAGTTTACTGACTGTCTCAAAGAATACATCCATCCAACTGCATCATCATCTTGACAAATGCATTAGTTGATTAAGTTTTTGGCTGGGCCCCATCTGTTGTATATGACAGGCCTTATGAGAGTTATGAGGCTATCATTCATTTTTTGAAGATAACCTGAGTTCTTGTTCCTTCACTGGTAAAAAGTATTTGACCTTCTTAAGGGACAACAAAAGTCTTAAATGTAGACAGTCCTTGCTCTAAATTCTTTCTGCATCTTATTCTATGATAATTTGATTCAGTTTTGCATTCAAGGCCTTGGCATTCACTAGTTTCTGTGGATCTCATACAGAGAATGGAGCTTTGGAACTTGAGAATCACAAGGATCCTCCTGCAAACAGATTCCTACAGCCACTTTTATCTTCGAAGTTTGATCATCGAGTGGAAACTCTGGTACTGGAGGACGAAATCGATCAGATTCTAATGGCATTAAAGAAGTCGCAGGAGTCTGAATACAGACTTGCAGAGGAAGCCCTTTCTGTCCAGAAGAACTGCATTCAAGATTTGTATCAACAGCTTGACCATGAGAGATCCACACTTTCACAGCGTGCGCCCTCTCCTGATGCAGATTCCGTACTTGATTCCTTCCTTAGCAAGGTGGACCATTTGAAACAAGAGATAAGGAAATTCAAGGACATGAAAGAAGTGGCAAAGAGATTTGGAAGAACTCCCAAACATATTCTCAAGGATCACTTTAAATTGGAAACTGAAAATTGAGCGATTTAAGCTGCTCGTCGTGTGTCTATACAACTCTGTGTAGAAGCCTTGTACCAAAATTTTGTGTGTAGTTTGTACAAGATTTTGTTGCCCCGTCTCTCTAGTTGGCATGTGATTTTGTTGTTTCTGGGAGAATATTTTCTTATCAAGTGAACATGCAATGGTTATATCCATGTCCACCAGAAAGACAATGGCGAAGGGTAATCAATGTCAACAACAACGATATCCTTATCATCGTGTTAATGACATTGTCTTTCTTTGGTTTTCAGTTCAGCGGTGCTCTGTTTCATTGCAGGTACAAATATGAAAAGGCGTGCAAATTGTTGTGTCATGAAGTCAAACTGAAGGCGTGAAGATAGAGTAAGGGAAGGCGTGAAATGGGTAGAAGATGCAAAGGAAGGCGTGGGTTCAAAACCACGCCTTAGCTGGAAGATGATTCTGCAACAGACGCACATGAAGAATAACAAACTTTCATATTAGCTGCAACGGTCTCCCAGCCACTTGGTCATGCCAAATGGGAGGATACGAAGTTGGTTATCAGCTGATTATCTATAAATAAGATTGAGTGAATGTAATAGGGATTATTTTGTGCAATTACAACAGAGATTGGGGCTGAGCCTCTTCCTGTTCTTTTTCCCCAAATTCCTTCATTCTTGTTCATCTTCTTAATCTTTCCCGCCCTTTCTGTAATTCTTAATACATTCATCAGCTATAGTTCCTGAGCCTATTTCACAACTTAACTTTGCAATTGTTAGTTAATATCTTCTGGATTATCAGTTTCTGTTATTAATTTGGAGCTCCCACCATAGCTCAGTCTGGTACCATTACAGTGGTATCAGAGCTAGATACGAGCCATTAGGGATGACTAAAACACAGGAGGAGATGATGAGGAAGGACCTGACTGAGCTGGGAAGTGTCATGAGGACGTTTGCCAATAAGAATGATGGAATGGAGCAAGCCATGAGAACCATGGAACATAGGCAAGAGAGTACTGAAAAAATTATAAAAAACTTGGATCAGAAGTATGAGAGCATGATGAATATGATGGCGCAAATGATGGCCAAACTGACTGACAAGGAAAAAGGTAAAGAAGGAAGCAGCTCAGGAGGATATCAGAGATTGGATCTGGTCAGCAAAAAACCTGAGAAAGCAGAAGGAAGAGGAGGAAACAGGTTGCCAAAGCTTGACTTCCCTGTGTTTGATGGAGAGAATCCTAGGGAATGGATCAGGAGAGCCAACAAGTACTTTCAGATCCAGGGAGTAGGAGAGGAGTTGAAATCTGATCTGGCTCAACTGCATCTTAAAGGGAAGGCAGACATATGGTTCCATGGAATGTACCATGGGAGAACTGAAGTTCCATGGGAGGAGTTGTCCATGGCAATATGTGAGATGTTTGGAGAAGGAACACCAGAGGAGACCATAGAGGAGTTCAATAAGCTGACTCAGTCAGGGAGCGTGACTGATTACCTGGAGAAGTTTGAGCTGCTAAAGTCCCTGGTAATGCCTCTACTACCTAATCAACCTAATTCCTATTATAAATCTTGTTTTCTAAGTGGTTTGAAGAATGAGATTGTAAACATGGTGAGAATGGCTAGACCTCACACTTTAGCAGATACTATAGAAGCTGCTAAGCTGCAGGAAAAAAATTTGGAAGTCATAAAGAGGGCATAGAGGACATTGTCCCACGGAGTTCCATTCCACCCCAATGCCATGGGGAACAGCAGGCCAAATCCTGTCCCACAGCTGAGGAACAAGTGGCACAGTGAAGGCTCTAAAATACTCAAGGACAGTGACCACAGGGGGCATAGGGTAGGGGGAACCACAGCAGGCCATTTCAAGAAAATTTCTCCCACAGAGTTCAATTACAGGAGAGAGAAGGGTCTATGTTACAAATGCGCAGAACCTTACACCCTGGGCCACATTTGCAAGCAAGCTTAGATTCAGTATATCCTGGAGGATAAGCCATCTGAACGAATTGAGGTAACTGATGGGGAAGTAGATGAATGTGAGCAATTCTGTAACTGTATTGAAGGAGGAATCAGTAATGAGAGGATAGAGGTTTCAATTCACACATTGTCTGGAGGGAATGGACACAACATCTTTAAACTGAAAGGGGCTCTTGAGGGAAAGGAGCTCCTAATTCTGGTTGACAGTGGCAGCACCCATTGTTTTCTGGATGAAAGGTTGGCTTCTCACCTACAACTGCGAGTGACAGGTGTTCCCCTGACAGTTAGAGTGGCCAATGGGGAGAAGCTGGAGTCTAGACAACTCAGCAGACCCCTGAATTGGAAGGTTCAGGGACATGAGTTTCAGCACAATTTCAACACCTTGCAGCTAGGGAGCTGTGATATGGTACTGGAAGTGGATTGGCTGGCCAGATATAGCCCCATCGAATTTGACTTCAACCAGCTGAGCATGAAGTTCTCCAAAGGGAAAGAGAAGGTAGTACTGAAGGTGAATCTAATAGGCTTAAACTGACAACCATTACAGGGAGCAAGTTGGTCAAGTGGAGAAGGAAACATGAGTATGGAGTCACTGCATTTCTCACTATAGTGGAGGAGGGGCAGGAAAGATAGGGAGAGATGCCAACAGGGGTGGAAGAAATGCTGAAACAATACCAAGATATATTTGTTGAACCCCAGGGTCTACCTCCCCCTAGGAGCCATGACCATGGAATACCACTCAGGGAAGGTGCCAGACCATTTCAGATCAGGCCTTACAGATGCCCCTATGTGCAGAAGTCAGAAATAGAGAAGCTGGTCAGAGAAATGATACAAATGGGAATTATACAGCCAAGCAATAGCTCCTTTGCCTCACCAGTCCTGTTAGTCAAAAAGAAAGATGGAAGCTGGAGGTTTTGTGTGGACTACAGGCAACTCAATGAACTCACAATGAAGGATAAGTTTCCGATGCCTCTGATTGATGAGTTGATTGATGAGTTACATGGATCCAAGTATTTCACTAAAATTGATCTAAGGGCAGGCTACCATCATATCAGAGTCAAAGTAGAAGACAGATACAAGACTGCCTTCAGGACTCATCAGGGGCTATATGAATTCAAGGTGATGCCATTTGGGCTAACTAATGCCCCTGCTACATTTCAGAACTTGATGAACCAAGTTTTCAAAGAGCAATTGAGGAAATTTGTGATAGTGTTCTTCGATGACATCTTGGTGTACAGCCCCACCTTAGAAGCTCATCTCCAGCATGTAGCAGAAGTACTGGACCTATTAAGACAACACCAACTGTTTGCAAAACAGAGCAAATGTTGCTTTGCACAGACTCAAATTGAGTACCTGGGCCATATAATCACTGCTGAAGGAGTGCAGACAGATCCTAAGAAAATTGAAGAGATGATGAACTGGCCACAGCCTAGAAATGTGAAGCAGCTAAAGGGGTTCCTAGGATTGACTGGATACTACAGGAAATTTGTGAGGGGTTATAGTTCCATTGCCAAGCCTCTAACAACATTGCTGAAAAAAGGGGGGTTCCAATAGAATGAGGAGGCTGAGGAGGCATTCCAGAGGCTTAAGATGGCTATGTGCAGCACACCTGTGCTAGCCTTGCCAGATTTCAACAAGACTTTCATCATAGAAATAGATGCCTGCTATGGAGGGATTGGAGCAGTGCTTATGCAAGACAGGAGGCCTATTACTTATTTAAGTCAGAGCTTAGGAACAAAGAACTTGGGACTGTCCATTTATGAGAAGGATCTTTTGGCACTGGTCACTGCAATTACCAAGTGGAGGCATTACCTGGAAGGACAACACTTCATCATCAGGACAGATCACCAGAGCCTCAAGTATTTGCTTGAACAAAGAATCACTACTCCACTCCAACAGAAGTGGCTTACTAAGCTATTGGGATTAAGCTATGAAATTCAATACAAGAAGGGCAGAGAGAATGTTGTTACAGATGCACTATCCAGGAGAAGCAGCAAGGAAGAATGGGAGATTACAGAAATGACATGTGTTATTCCTGAGTGGGTCAAGGAGGTGGAGGAAAGCTATCAAGGAGATATAGAAGTTCAGGAGATGATCAAGAGTCTGATTCTCATACCAAGTTCCCTACAGAACTACTCCTATCAAAATGGGATAGTCAAATACAAGGGAAGAGTGGTAGTAGGAAAATGAGGACAAATCAGGAGGAAAATCATCACTGCCATCCATGATTCACAGCTAGGAGGCCACTCTGGTGTACAAGCTAGCTACCTGAGGGCCAAGCAGTTCTTTCACTGGCCAGGGATATATAAGGAAGTCAAGGATACAGTGTTACAGTGTGACACCTGTAGGAGGTGCAAGGACGAGCATGTTGCTTATCCTGGTCTCCTGCAACCACTACCTACACCACAGTACTCCTGGAGTCATGTCACCATGGATTTTATTGAAGGATTGCCTACTTCAGAAAGGAAAGACACAATCATGGTCATAGTGGATAGGTTCACTAAGTATGCTCACTTCACCAGTCTAGCTCATCCTTTTGATGCCCCAATGGTGGCCAGAGTCTTCCTGGACCATGTGACGGGCCCTCCTCCCCCTAGGGCGTACCCCAGGGTTCGGCGGGCCGCCTGCCCAACTCTCGCCGGGACTCAGTCGTTCACTACAGTTCTCAATTAAATTGCAATATAAATCTCAAAAATTACATCAAATTCTCCAATAATTACATGTTATAAGCGAAGCGGAAATGATTCCCAACTATACATCAAATGAATCCAAATCCAAACTGTACAAGATATAAGCCATCCAGTCACGTGAATAAGTACTATAAATCTTTCCTTCGCCTTGAGCCCTGTGGAGGGGAAATAAAATAGTTTTTGGGGTGAGCTAGAAGCTCAGCGAGTAACCAATAAAATCAGAAATCAAATATATTTCACAATAATGCATTTCGATCATTTCGATGATGTCATGATTCAGAGATCAAACTGTACGTTTATTGCTCTCATGAGCCGGTGAAATCATTGCACTTGAACACCCAACGCTCAAATAGATCATTTAACATTA